CCAGCATCCAGACACAAATTTCATTGATCCCATCCCAGTAAAGATCTATGATAAGCCAGCTTATTGTGCTCACTTTTGAGGAAGAAGCGGACGCAAAACCATGGTTCCACGACATCAAGGAGTACTTGACAACAGGAGAATATCCAGAACATGCCAACGCCACTCAAAAGCGCACACTTCGGAGATTATCCAACAACTTCTTTCACAGTGGGGGAATNCTACGATCTTATGGCAATTTCTTTAGTCGTGGCCTTTCATCTTACAGTAATCACAGTACAACAAATGTTTTTTGCCTTTGAATCCTTGGCCTCGCCCTGCCTATATAACCAAAGGATCAAGTTTGTCTGTCAGAACATTAGCATTAACAACCTGTTGGCTTTCATCTTGAATGATCCTAGCATAGGCTTGATTGAGGGTTGGCTTAGAAGACTTCATAAGGATTTGTCTCCTACTTTGATCATATGAATCATTCAAACCACTAAGACAATGCATTGCTCTTTTTCTATGAAGATGTTCTACATGCTCCTTAGACTTTGGACAACCACAGTTAGGTGATGGTATCAGCACATCATACTCATGCCATAGTTCCTTCAGTTTTGAGAAGTAAGTAGAAACTGAACTGGATCCTTGTGACAGAGTAGCTATTTCTCTGTGTAATTGAAATATGCGAACTCGATTGATTTGGTCAAACCTCTCTCTTAAATCTTTCCAAACTAAGTGTGCATTGGATGCGTACCCAATTCCACCTAAGAGTTCCTCAGACACTGTATTCATGATCCATGACAAGACGATCACATTGCAGGTTTTCCACTGCTCATGCAGTTCCTCCTGAAAGGTCCCCGTTTTACATGTACCTGTTACGAACCCTAGTTTCTTCTTCCCCAGTAATGCAGTGCGCATAGATCTACTCCAAAGACCATAGTTCTCTGATCTTGTATGCTTCACAGGAATTAAGATTGATCCTGGAGTGTCGCCTGGGCCGCGGATGCGTGTAATCAATTTTTGATTTCGCCATTGTTGACAGTTCAAAGAAATCTCAAGCTTCGATACAATCCGACGGTGAATCGATACGCACGAACTAGCAGAAATTATACAGCGAATTCCTCCGGCATCGACAACTCTGATTAGGGGTGTTCAAAACCGAACCGAAACCGAAACCAAAGCTTAATTTTTTATTGGTATCGGTTAACGGTTTAATGGACGGGGAACAGATTGAATTTTTTTTATTAACGGCTTATCGATTTGGGGGCAGATTATTCAATTTTCTTAATGGATAATTAGTTAATCCGTTAAGAATATATATATATATATATATATATATATATATATATATATATATATATATATATATATATATATATAGTTATTACTACAGAAAAGATCTCATATCATTAATTCGTTGTTGCTGATGTCAGTATTCTAATGCTTATTCACTAGTACAACGTCTTAACTTCTTTCTCGAAGAATATTAGTGATGAAAGTTAAAAGAAAAAGGCGTATATATTATATGTGATTGTGAGGTGTAATCAAGATGATGATAGAGTAACTGAATTATCCTGAGCTGAGAGTTTGGAGAATTCATATTGACGGCTATTTTAATACTTAAAATTAGAAAGCTGCTACTCTAATTTCTCCTTTTTCTTTTCTCAATTTTCTATTTTGAGTCATCAGTCAACAAACAATCAATGCACGCAATATAGATTGAATTAGGCCGATAAACCGCCCGATAAGAGCTAAACCGATACCAATCCGTCCGATATCTTATTAGCTGGCTAGCAGATTAATACATTTAAAACCTGATAACCGATAAGCCAAACTGTTAAGAGTGAATAACCGCCCTCTGATACCATGCTGAAATACGAGCTCAACAGATGAAGCTTGAAGCTTCTCTAATGGAAGCAACTGGGGCGAAATGAGATAAGAAAGAAGAAACAGAATTGGGGAAAATGAAAGTTTGTATATTAACTGAATGTTAAACTCTATATATACAATTGACTCCACGAATCAACTCCACTAACTAACTAGTGACAGCTAAGCTATAGCTTGACATAATACTACAACTAACTAAACTGCGCTGCCACGTGAGATTGCTATCACATATACATACATATCAATACTTTTTCAATTCAAACAACCAGTTTCAAAGTTACCAACAATTCGAAAATTATATCCACTATTCTCGGAAAAATCTAACTCTTGGCATATTTTCGCCAAACAAATGAGAAGTGTTAACATCCAAAAGCAGATCAACTTTTTCATTATAATCATACTCCCTCCGGTTCACAATAAGTGTCCAATTTGCTTTTTCATTTTGGTTCAAAATAAGTGTCCAGTTATGTAATCAAGAAAGAATTCAATTTGTTTTTACAAAATAACCTCTATATACATATCCCTAAAAAAAATTTCTTACTCCTCACATTAAATGTTTAATTAGGGGTAGTTTAGTCATAGTAGGTATTTTTATATAGAATTTAGTATTTTCTTAATGGGCGTGCTAAAAGCAAATTGGACACCTATTGTGAACCGGAGGGAATAGTAATTATATACTAGAAAGGATAAGAATTATTCATATACCGAAAATAAACCCACATTTTATTTCAAGTTTCTTCACCAATTTCTCAACATCCAAATAAGAAAAATGAGAAGAAAGAACCAATATTTTCTCAAAACGCAGAAATATATGTGTATTTCTTGATTTGCATTCCTCTGGCGCTTCTTCCGAACCATAATATTCCATTCTCCTTAATTAATATATATTGCCATACCCTTCTTCAATCTTTAATTGCCTTTGGAACTTTAAACTATGTAGTATATTTGGAACTCAGTTCTACACCTTCACTCCTCCTTGGATCATTGTAGTAAAATGTAGCTTCCACCGAATAATTCCAATTTCAGTAAAATGGTTGCTTCCTCCGAATTACCAACTTCACTAAATGGTTGCTTCCTCCGAATTACTAACTTCAGTAAAATGTTGCTTCCTCCGAATAACCAAATTTAACATGCGGATTTTGCTAGTAGGCGAAGAGAAATTGCTTCTCGATGATTACAGTTTGCTGCTCTATTATAACCTTCGATTGCCTCCTCAAGCATAAACCTGTAAGATCTTTAGATCCCGTGTTCTCTTTCACATCCATGTTGGTTGTTGGATGAGTTTCTGCCCTTAAATATTCAATATTTAAAATAGTGGAGGAGTTTCGCAATATTAATACATTTATTGTGGTGATTACTAAAAATAAATTGCTGCTACTTGGGTTTCTTAGAGAAAGCAAACGGCAGTCAGCCATGATGACATGATAAATTCACATCAATAAATTACCCAATGCAAACGGCTGGCAGACGGAAAGCAAACAGATAACTTTGGAAGAGTTAATTAGGACTTGTAGAGGAGATTGTGGGAAGTGACTTTTGGGTGGAGGTGTAATTAATAGACAGCAGGACGTGACTTTTTGGTTCTTTAAGATATCACACAATAAATGGAAATATGTAGAAAAATTAGGGAAAAACTTAAAAATTTGAGAAATAAGATAAATATCATTCTTGGCCTAAGAGAGGTGCCAAATCATCTTTTCCATGCCCTCTTTTATATATATATATATACTAGTGAATACGTACGCGCTTCGCGAGATTATAAAAGAATATCAATCTATGAAATGATAAGCAATCCAGTATCTTCGATAAAATACTCATAAGCAGCATACATTTCGGTTAATTCATGCATAATAAATATTACTAATATTTTGATTGTCATAAGAAAGTCTTCTTGGGCATCAAATGGGATTGATATTTGGATAAACAGTACGATGTGCAACAGTAACAATATAATAGCAAAAAGTTTTTTCAGTTCATCACTCTTCTTCATAGTTAGCAGCATATGCCTTGGAATAATTTTGTCCTTGTTATCATTAGCCGCATTCTTAGTTAATTTTAATTTGTATAACCATTTTTTACAAATTAAGTTCACTAAACCCATTTTAAAAAATATATCCATATTAGTATTTGCAAATTTTACCTCTAACACAACCCAAACTACTACAGTTTAATTTTTTTCCTCAAAAGTGATTATTTCTCGACCAAATATTCATACTGACGTAATGATGTTATTTCTCAAAAACTATAATCAAACCTTATCTTATGAAGATGTTAGTGAAATAATGGAAATGAAGCAATAATCAACTAATTTCTATACTAATGAGGCAATATTCTTTATCATTTCTATCTTTGACAACTTATTATATCCCCAGTAACCACCAACCAAATTAATTCACGTCTAAGATAATGGACGAAGAAGGAACCAAAGCCAAGGGCATATAAACAATCATTATGAAGTAAAATTAACTTCTATCTAAATTAAGGTACCTAACATTCAGCAAAATCTGTCGAGATATTTTTCATTTTTTGAAGATGAACTATCAAGGAAAAAAAATTATTCTCAAGTTACTTCAAATTTCATCTCAAAATTATATATTTAACTCCACCTCATTTCTTGATTTCTAACATGACAAAATAGTTTGATGTTTTTATATTAGCTAATTCCCAAACATAATCCCATTTCATTTCAACCCAAAAAGCAAAAAGAATTGAAGAAAAGAGAAGAAATTAAAAAAATCGGAAATTAATTTAACCTCACTAAACATGGGAATATTTTCTCATGTTCATTTTCTTCACAAGTACTTCACCAATCTAATATTAGTTGAAACACACTAAAATTAAAAGAAAAATCAATTTAGGCAGAAATAAGTAATCATGTCCATTTTCTTCTCTAACAAAAGTGAACGAAATAAAATTAAATTAAACCTAGCCAAGAAAAGTATATATTTTTTAGACCGAAACAAATTGATCAAAACCTACCTGAGGAAGAAAAAATAATTTGCCACCACTCCTCCCCCAAATAGAATCATAAAACCAAACAAATTATCTACTCAACGGAGAAGTCAGAATTTTGCAAACCTACAAACAAATATAAGTAACCAAATAAAAAGGGAATTTCTCAAAAAAAAAAAAAAAAGAAAAAAAAAAATACATATTCTGAGCACATGACCTCTCATAAAACATACTCCTATAGTCCTACTACACAGACATGAAGAGGACTGCCTTGAATTCAAGTTGCCGCTCAACATAGAAGTACTTGACCTCACAATTAGTCTTCCCAAATCCCAGCCATGGTTAAACTTCTGTAGAAAGAGACGTTTTCCTCCTATATAACCAGCTTTGGTCGTCTGCAAACCGGATAGGATTCTGCTAGTTGTTAATAAGATGAGAGATTTCCTTATTTCTTCTTCTTACCTTTTTCCTTGTCTCTGTCCTCCTCAACAGTCTAAAAATCGCCCTTTTACGGTTTCTTGTTTGCATCATCTTCTTCGTCACTAATTTCCTTGTAACCTTGTTGAATACTGATTGTCTTCCAATTCAAAGATGATTAATGATTCTCCAAGCACTCCAACTACTGCAGATGAACATATTTCAGTGCAGGTCATCAATTAAAAATGCCGATAGATAAAGATGGATGGCGATTTAATCAAAAAAGAAACAAAATACTACTAAAAAGAATGAAACTTGGAACATGAATAAAAATGGAGAAATGAACACATCACCTGCAACCAAAAATGAACTCATACAAAAAAAAAAAAACGCTAGAAAAGTTCATTCCGTGTCCAGAAATTAAAACCTGAACCAAAGTGGAGGATTTCACAGATTTACGAACAACAATTGAGAGGAAGATAACACCTAGATCACCATCTTAGGCTAACTGGCACGTATAATCCTAATCCTCCAAAAAGAGAGGAAAGATAAATGAATTTGGTGCTTGTCATAGCAAGTTATCTTGTTGCTAAATATTTGCTGGGCCGAGGGAAAGGTATTTAGCAGGAAAAGGAGCTATCATAATAATAAAAGAGTCCTTTAAGCAGGGGGTGTCAATGGTTCGGTTCGGCCGGTTATTTTATAAAATTTGTGCCATACCAATTTTTCGGTTATTCTATTATGTATAACCAAAATTAGACTTTTTGAAACCGTCCCAATCATGTCGGTTTTACTTCGGTATCGGTACGGTTCGGTTAATTTTCAGTATTTTTTTAAATGTCATGTAAAATTCACCAGCAGAAGTAAAATTCAATAACATACGTGCTTTTATAGGACTTAGCAAAACTCTCTAGACATTTTTACTTTTTAAAGGGTGATGAATTAAAAAAAATGAAAGATGGCTAGAGTATAGATCCTTAACTATTCGACAGCAACGTAAAAGAATCCAAGTAAAAGCAAAGAAAATATAAATCACACGAGTGGAAAAATATTAACCAAGCTGGGACTCAAGAATAAAGTCTATATTTAATATTCAAAAAGATAAATCTTTTTTTTTTGGTGGAAAAGATATCTAAGTTATATGAAAGGAAATATATTTAATATATTGTAGTTTGCTACTCATAATCGCTAAAATACTTTGTGTCTTGCTAATAAAGATACTTGAAATAACTTAGTTTAAGTATAAGTAGCATTATAGGTTTTAACAATTAGTATTTTGAGTTTAATTACTTGTTATTGGCTTGTAATAATTTTCATAATTTTTAAGGCCCAATGAAAAATTTAATGCTTTATTAGTTTTAAACTTACTATATAAGTATATTTTTCACATGTAAAATTTATTCGGTACGGTTCGGTATTTTTTCGGTTTATTTTTATAAAATAAAAAACCTACCCTAATTATCGGTACGGTTATAGATTTATATAAAAATTTACAGTTTCTTTAAGACAAACCTAAAAATCAGTTTGATGCGGTACGATTCAGTCGGTTTAATCAATTTTCAAATATCCATTGACACCCCTACCTTTAAGTCTTTTTCTTCTTTTAAAGTAGCACATTAATTAGTAGAAGAAACGGTACATGTAACCGTTACTGCTTTAAAGGAAAACAGAAAGATTGCATTATAAGAATTGGAAAAGCGTCGTTTCATTTTTTTAGCCGTTTCTCCTTTTGGGCTATTAAAAATGAGATGAGATAAATCTATATATATATATATATAAAAGAAGAAGCAAAAGAATATAATGATGCCAAGTGGCATAACTACAATTCAACATCTGTCATTTTTTAAGACACATCTCCAATAAAGTTGGAGTTAATTTGAAATTTAAAATTTGAACTAGAACTATAAAATAGGCACACAAAAAAAACAGTCATCATTCACAAAAAAAGGAATACGAATTGCCTTCCATGTTCGGCAGTTATTTCATTTATTCACTAGAGTTGGAAACTAAGACGTTTTTCGTTAAGAATAATCAAATAATTATTATCAAATTTTAAAAGTTTACATTTAATTACAGTTATAAGTCCTAATAAGGAGATATATAAGGCTAACAGTTACAATCTTTTTAAGTACCCTTTCAAGCCAAAAAGCCTTCACATTTTCACTTGCCGTTTCAACCAAACACATAATTTTCAATTCCAAACGCCTCAAGTTCCAACTGCACTGGTACTCAAGACAGAGAAAAAATTAACAAAGGAGAAGAAGTTTTACTGTCCGTGAGAAAGATTTGAAGGTATAAAGTTTCATGTTTACATCATGTATCTTTGTATGAAATTCCTATTTTTAATTGTTCCATAGCAGGCGTTATATTGGGGTTTTTCCTTTTTGGGATTCATCGAAGCCGGAGCAAAAATCTATTGGATCACAGGAACTTCGGGGGACAATTTTTTCTCTTCTTCTGGTATGCCCAAGTTATAATTAGAATTGCATCACAAATTATTATTTTAATTGTAATTATCTTCTTTCGCTTTTGTTGAGAGATTAGAGAAAATAAATTTGAAAGTTGAAATCTCATCAGTTCTCAAAAGTACTGTGTGCTATTTGTCTTTGTTTCCATCTATTGTCGTTGCTACTGTTACTATTGATGGTATTGAATACGGTCTGTCAATATCAGTTTTTCTTTGCATAATATGCGTTTAATGCAAAATTTCAGTTTCAAAACTCATATTGTTTTTAGAATAATCTGGTAAGTTCAAAATTAATATACAATTTTAAAGGTTTCTATGTCGTATAATACTATTTACAGTAACTTAGCAAGTTATGAAATTCAAAAATGCAGAAAATGGGGTGCTGCATTTACCCCAGCAGGACGTACTTGAGCAAAACAAGCAGGCGAAAGAAAAAACTTTGTCGATAAGGAATACTCTGTGGAATCCACTGACCATGAGAGCTATTACTCAAGTTTCTGATCATCAATGCCCGTGCCTGAATTTGTGTACTGCAATTATTTCAGTTCCGGACTCTAATAAAGTGACCATGTGATTCTGTTAATGTATGTTTTTGCTACAGTGAAAGTAGAATCGCAAAGATATGAAGGCGTTTTAAGAACCTCATCCAAAGAACATAAACCTAAACATGTTATTTGGTGCATCTATTATGCACAATTGCTCTAGCATTTTTAGATGCGGAATATTGAGATAGTTGATTATATAATCATCTTATTAACAGATTTAGAAAATATCTACTTAGATAATTTGATTTGGCGTACAACTTGGTTTTCTCCCATTATCCACAAGCTGTTTTTGTGCTTCATCTATGCAACAAATTATATAAGTTCTATGAACCATAACATAAACTGACCTTATCATGGTAATATGATCAGTTCTTTATTTACTTACCAATCTATCTTGCTAATGAACTAACATGATGATGCTTCAAAATATTTTGATAATCTTTTGATTAATTGTTCATATTAGTTATGGGAAGATATAGATAATTATTATTTCAGTAGCATAACTATCAAGATGATATGTGGTTCATCCTGTTAAAATTAGTTTGCCTTAGGATGTTCATTAGCATTAACACTTATAGACAGTGGATGATTGAGCAGAAAGTTGTCAATTATTAGATGAAGCAAGAGAGCTGGAGTAAGAATTGGATATTTGTAAGGGTAAAATAAAATTGTTATTGCTTAACTTTTCCAAGTTTTATTTTTTCCCTTTCTTCTACATTTTAGATCTCTTTATACGCTTAAAGGGTATATGTTGAAACACTTTTCCTTCCAATATATTGCTTTGAAGTAAGTATTCTATATGTAATGTGCTTTATGCAGAAGTTTGTTAGAAGGGAGAAGTGCTTCCCTAAGTTTGAAACCTTATGAAGGTTTCTCCGGATAGACGTGCATGAGAAAGAAAGATGCTTTAACATGAACTCAAAAGCAGAACATTCACTTGAGATAATAGATTGGCAATAGAGGGGAGAGGATGGTATGACTGAGTTGATCTTCTTATCAATGATCTTTTTTTCCTCACAATTTTTTTTTCTTAATTCGAATAGTTGTATTTAAATACTTGTGATACTTGGTTTACCATGAACTTGGTACTTTGTGCAAATTGGTGCTCAATTTAGTTGAGAGGTTCCTATCGAGTGTGATTCTGCAACGGTAATATTTTTCTTAATTTCTGAGTTTATAGATGGACACTTCTTTGATCATCATGTATTTTGTGTGTAATATTGTTAAAAGTTCCCTTTCGAAATAAATACAACAATTTATAGTTGATGCAAATGTTAGCATTTTTAGGAGCATCAGCATTTAATACATTTGTGATCTATTTATATATTCAATAAAGACACACTCGAAATGACCATATAGAATGAATTTCTGGCTTAGTTGCTACAGTTGTTGAATTTTGTTAATTATGTGTGTGGAATATCTTAAAATTTTGATTAACAGACTACTCTTTTTTCGCAATAATCACTTATCATCCTTTGTAGATATGCCTGGATTGTTTACAATTCTACCAAATCTGGTGATTTGTAAGCAGCTGCTCTAACAAGACCTGTAAGGACACACTCGAAATGACCATATAGAATGAATTTTTGGCTTAGTCGCTACAGTTGTTGAATTTTGTTAATTATGTGTGTGGAATATCTTAAAATTTTGATTAACAGACTACTCTTTTTTCGCAATAATCACTTATCATCCTTTATATATATGCCTGGATTGTTTACAATTCTGCCAAATCTGGTGATTTGTATGCAGCTGCTCTAACAAGACCTGTAAGAACACACTCGAAATGACCATATAAAATGAATTTCTGGCTTAGTCGCTACAGTTGTTGAATTTTGTTAATTATGTGTGTGGAATATCTTAAAGTTTTGATTAATAGACTACTCTTTTTTCGCAATAATCACTTATCATCCTTTATAGATATGCCTGTATTGTTTACAATTCTGCCAAATCTGGTGATTTGTATGCAGCTGCTCTAACAAGACCTGTAAGTTTAGAATTTGTAAAATGTATTATAATTGAGTTTCTGTTATAAATTTTTGTCGAGAATGGTGTGCTTTATTTAAAATATATTAAAATTGAGTTTCTTTATGTAAAATGTATTATAATTGAGTTTATGTATGAAATTTTGTTATAAGAGTTTACTTGGTCATATGGATAATTATTGTTACTCCATGTGATGACTGTTCTTTGTGTTTGTCTCCAATGTTTACACATTTAATGAGATGGATTATTATGATACATGAAATAATTTTGATTTGTGAATTGGTAGTTAAAATGATACTACGGTCACCTTTCAATTGAAGTATAAATATTTTCTTATAAATCTGCATCTTATAAATTTTTATACAGATTTGGATAGTCTTGAGCAGTACAAAGGGTGAATGCGCATCTATCATCAGTGGGAAAAACTTAGGATGAATAGTTAATTTTCTTTTGTATTATCTACTCATCCCATAGACACTTAGTAAATAGTGGTTGTATGATTCATACGACAAGTTAGCGAGCTAATTGCATCCTGAAACGAAAATAAGGCTCTGAAGGTATATGTAGTCACCCATATTGTTTTTAAAATAAACGTACATAATTTGTCCATTTATCCTCTTTCGTCT